TTTTCCTAGAAGCCAGTAATAGTTATTGTAATAACTGATGACATTTTGTAACACAGAAGAGCTTCTTCATGTGAATGCATTGAAAATTAAAATGCAGTTGAGAGATTCTCAATTTGAATAGTGTAAAATCACTGAGTAATAGTGGAAACATGTTTGCATGTCAGTGGTTTCATGGGATTCAACTTGTACTTGAACCCTTCCTATTTGGAATGCTTCTAAGATAATTGACATGGTTAATATCACAGAAAAGGCTCAAGTAGGATACTTGTTTAAAATTTTATTTTATGGCTTATAAAATTGATTTATTTGCTAATATTTTCATATATGCTTAAAATAGAGTCAGAGAGGCAGGACACACAGCTCAGTGGTAGAGCTCTTGGCTGGTATATGTGAGGCCCTGGCTGTGATTCCCAGCCCCAAAAAGTAAGTAATAAATGGAGGGAGAGGTGAAGGCTAAAAATGTTCATCAATAAAAAGTTTTAGATAGAATTAAGATTTTGAGTATTACATGAAGGAGCCTCTTAACAAAGATAATGAATATTTTAATCTTTATCTTACCCACTTTATTCAATTGTTCATTTGAATGTACATGTGTGTATGGAGTAAGACATATTTGAAGTGTTTTGACCAGTTAATGGATTTCATGTTTTCAAAAATACCATCGGGCCCAACCATAGAACTCTATAATGTCTCTCCTACATTTACTACAGCCAGTTATAATAAAAGTGGGTGAACCTAAGGCCATGATTCTCTGGCCTGGTCACACACGTGATCACCTGAGGAGCTTTTAAAACCTGGCAGTGCTCTTGCCCAGTTCCTAGAAATACTAATCTAATTTATATTAGCTTAAATTAATATTAAATTCTAATTTAATTAGTGTGAGTGAGGTTCAGGTCCTCACATATGCATTTTAAATCTCTCCAGGTGACACTAATTTGTAGCTCCAGTTAAGATCCACTTGCAAGGGCCGAGATGGAGCTCAGTGGCGTAAGCGTCTGCTGGACAAGCACAAGATTCTGAGTTTAAAAAAAAAGATATATATTAAGATCCATTCACTGGTGGTAAACACGGATATCAGAGAAGGGCTGTAAACCTCTGTAGAAGAGAATTTTAAAGACTAGAATATTTGTTGAACAGTAAAACATTTTTATTATTTATGCATGCATTTATTTATCTTCTGTATTTTTAGGGTAGAGTCCACAGGGTGTTCAGGGTCTCACTACTAGACCGGACTCATAGCGATCCGTCTGCTTACAGCCTCGCAAGTGCTGGGATTGCAGGCCTGCGCTACTAGGCCAGTCTCAATCGCCATCTCAGTGTGCCCCGGGGGCGGAGGCGGGGCCGGCACAGCGGGGATCAAACCCTGGGCCCCTTTGCCTGCTTGCAGGCACTTTAATCCACTGAGCTATTTGGCCAGCCCTAGTAAAACATTTTTAAACACTGATGTTCAATTTTAATTTAGCTGATCTAAGATGGAGTTTTGTTTGTAGGCAATTTATGTCAAATGGTTGATTCCAAAGTTCTGATTCTTTGCCTTTAGTTCTTTCACTGTAAAAACAGCTAGTACAGTACCCTGGACCCAGTACCAGTAACTGGGTCCAGCAGTTACGACAGTGGGGGAACTGCTGGACCCAGTTAGCTCGCAGGGATGTCAGAATATGCATGGATGTTAAAAATTCCCCACAAGCTAGCTTTACAAATAATTTATTTGAAAATTGAATGCCATGCTAAAAAGCGTAAAAATTGCTTTAACCCCTGAAAATACGTCAGGGTTAAGAAAGCAGTCCAGTCCGTATCAGATAAGGTTTTATCAGCTGGAACTTGTTTTGCTGTAGGAAAGGACCAGAGTGTCTGTGACTCTGGGCTCCTAGAGAGCTGCTTTAGGGGAAGTGGTCGCATCTCTCCAGTAATACGAAACAGAAAAATGCATTAAATGCTATCAGTGATAGGAATGACTTTCCTATGGAGAGGAAGAACAAAATTTGAGTATGTTACTACTGAAGGTTAGATTTCCCTTTCATGGAGAATTGAAAAATAATGATTCTCTTTTTCATCCATTTGTTTGTTTTGACTATTGAACATAATCCTCATCAATGAATGACAGCACATTTTCCTGCAGGTTCTTTGATCTTGAATCTGTCTATAGTTGGGTGAAATTAGTTTAATAGTACTACTAAAAAGTCAGGATTTCTAGTTCTCTCATGTATTCTTATGAATGCAGGTCAGTATTAAGTGCTCTTAACAGATTTTCATAGAATTTTAGCTTAAAATTAAGTGAAACCTCAGCTAAGTTAAAAAAGCCCACTACTTATGGTTGGATTTTTAAAAAAAATCTTTGAATGGAATTTTTGAGACCCTGACACTTTTGCAAAAAAGAGATACACCGTACTTTAAAGTCCTTTTAAATAACAAATCCTTTTTTTATTTTTACATGAAGGAAATAATTTGCTGGAAAACAAAGGGGCTTGAACAAGAAGGGTGAGGGCAGAGATGTAAGACAAAGAGGTAAATTCAAGACCAGCAAGGGCTTGGGAGAAGAGTAAAAATAAAGGGAGGAGATGAATCATCCAGATCCTTTGTGACCAGGATCTCAAATATGTTGCCCTAGTAAATGAGCAAATAAATGAACACAGAAATTAGTGAGTCATGAACCAGATGCTACTTGCTACTTGGGAGACAAAGAGCAGAACCACAGGACCAGGGCTGAGGGATTGGGAGGGGGCTGGAGTGAGTAAGAAAGGGGAGAAAGAGAAGGGGGGAGAGAAGAGGGGTTACTCATAAACCCAGGATTAAAGGGAGCACTGGGATCTGACAACAACACAGCTTCAGAAAGGAGGACAGAACCAATATGATTGCAAACAGTAGACTTCCACCCCTTCAGGTTTTTATTTCAGTTGGAATTTTCTCGAATAATCCCATTTTTTTTTTCAGTCCACTGTGATGAAAGTATGCCAATTACCTCATCTCTGCTGGCGGAGGAGGGAAGTCAGAAGCATCCACATCATCATACACTTCTTCTCCCATCTCTAGCAAAAGGAAA